TCCCGACGGACCCTAGCATACCCCGTAAGCCTTACTTAGCACTACTCAATCCTTGGTCTGGAACTACACCTGAGGAGTCGTTCTTCGACCTAATGTTCCGGCCGGTCCCCTTGATTGTCTATCCAGCCTGCCTCATGGCTACGTTTATCTGTGAGTTCAAAATGGTTATTAAATCTTACTAGACGCTGCTGACTTGGAGAAAAGACTCTATTTGCCTCGCTCCAACTGTCATGGTCAACGTTTTGAGTGGCAGTATTCTAATACCCCCACCATACAACTTCAATGTGGGAAACGTAGGGCTAATAAACGTTCCGGGGATGGTCGGCCAAGCAAGCGGTTTTATAATCGGCGGTGTTCTTATCGACAGGTATTCCGCCTTCCGTGCCCGTCGCAATAACGGCATCTTTCTTCCTGAGGAACGGCTGGCTCTCTTATTCATCCCTAGCGCTTTGGTTTTCGCAGGAACTGTCCTTTTCGGCTTCGCCGCGGAGAGACAAATGCACTGGGCCGTCATTTTTGTTGCCTATGGCTTAATGAGCGTCGGCCTCACGGGTGTTGCTAGCATCGCCATGGTATACGTGTGTGACAGCTACTTCCCTGTGGCAGCAGAGTGCTTAGAATTAATTAATGGGTTTAAAAATATTGTTGCATTTGGATTCATCAGAGGCACTGTGCCGTGGGTCGAGTCTCAGGGTTATGAAAGGGTAAGTTGATCACTCCTAAAGCCCTATTTCCTCTATCATATACTGACAAGTCACTTTTATGATAGGCTTTTAGTACCATTGCGGGTATATTCGCGGCTTTTGTTCTTGTAGCAATTGCATTAGTGTTCTGGGGACCCAAGATCCGCCATCATACTTCCACACACTGGCGGTTGATTAGCTGGGAGAAGGCTCACATACACTAAACCTGTCGTCCATACGGGATGGTTTCCTAAATACTAGAATAAGAAAGAACAGCATACATTTAGATTTCATTGGATTGGACGGTATAATATTTTAGGGCTAGCAAGCGGATCTCACCCTTAGCGTTTGGGCAAAGGCTATCGGCGTGCTTCAGGATGGATACAAAACTCAGGAATAGGTAGTTAAATATCAAAGAGAGTCCATCATTACTCGGGACCTCTATTAATCAATAAGATTCCGAACACAATAATCTCGACGTATGTGGACTTATATACGATTGGTAGAACACCCCCATATGAACCTAGGCTATCCAGTGAGCCTATCAAAAGATGCAGGGTGAAAGTATCCAATGAATATAAAAGTTAGACGGGGGAGTAGTTATCTAAACGTATACCAGTTAACAATGGCATAACTATATTGCTCTCTTTATATCTAGCTTACCTAACCTTAGGTATACTATACGCCGAGAGACAAACTACCTAGAGGGAATATCACGCCAAGTCTCAGCTATAACACCGAATAGCGACGATGACAAATGACCCAAGTAGTGATAATTGCTGTCTCGGGTATTGTTAGTATTATGCAAGTCAAATATGCAGGGTGTTCTAGGGTACGGCTATTTCCTCGGAAGTGGGGAGCCGAGCTTGGCCTCGCCGGAGTCGTAAAGTAAATGCATTCCTATTATTAGGATAACATTCCCCCTTTCATAATTACCTACGTACCTAGGTGTATCTATGCCTTGGCCTTTCGCATATAAGCATAACCTCAAGACCGAGTACAGTGTATATCCAAGGTTTATGCCAAGTGCCTAATCATGTCTTCGCCGACGTTCACCAATTTGATCCGATTCCTAGACGAGTCGTCCGTTGAACATTATGGAGATGTCACGAATAGTTCACTGGATAGCATCGTTGGCTCAGTAGTCCCAATCCTCGAAGGTGACCTTTTTAGTTTACGACAAACGGATAAGACTGCTGTAATCTACAAGGTGAGCAGCACGACGTTGCTCATGTGTTGCTCCGTGGTTTATTAGCTAATAATATTGTATTATATTCCTACCTCAAAGTTGCTATCTCCAGTTCCCTCTACGCCGTTGTTTGTTTGTATAGGGTTGAACTGTGCGGATCATGCGAAAGAAGCCAATGTTTGTGGCGTTCACCATGTCATTCAGAGTCAAGTCTAATAAATACACTTGCTATAGCTGGCAATCCCACCAAACCCCGTAATTTTTACGAAGCCATCAGGTAAGTAGTAGTTAATAGTTATTTTATCCTCACTAGATTTAGACATTGCTGATATTGTGGCTTGCCATCATAGATGCTTTGACAGGTCCATATTCAGATGTCCCAGTCCCCCCTGAAGCAGAGTTGATGGATTATGAGGTTCGTGTTCACCGATTTGGGATTAGTGGTATACTGACTAAAGAACGTATGATTTCAGGGAGAGCTGTGTGTTATCATCTCAAAAACTGGCAAAAACATTCCCGAGGAAAAGGCTCTCGACTACGTCCTAGGAATTACGGCGGGAAATGACTTCTCCTCGCGCAAATGGCAGCGACCTCCCTACTCAGGAGGACAATTCACCTACGCCAAGTCATTTGACTACTTCGCTCCAATCGGTCCTACGATTCTCCATGCTTCTCTAATAGCTTCCAAGGCTCCGCTCAAGATCAAGACAACAGTTAACGGTGAAGTCCGGCAAAACGGAAGCACAAGTGATATGCTCTTCAATATTGAGAAAATCATTGCGCATGCGAGCAGAGGAACGACGCTGAGGCAGGGAACGATAATTATGACTGGAACTCCGGCCGGGATAGCCGCTAAGTGGCCAGGACAGCCTTGGCTGAAGGACGGTGACGTTGTTGAGGTTGATATTAGCGGTATCGGTTCTTTAAAGAACAAGCTTGTGTTTGAGAAAGAATCGTGATGAGCTAGTATGCATGGTGGAGGTTGTCAGTACCGTGCCGTGGGGTTCCGGTACCCCAATCTAGTCGTTTCTACTTAAGTTCAATTATATAGCTCATCTATTGCTTCTTGATGTCGACACAATCAAGATCTCAAGTGTCACACATTTTCACCTGCATACACTAGTGAAGCAATATGTCTACATGTTACTGTTTCAAGGGAACAGCTGGCGATTGTAAGCCTCCTTAAGCGAAATCTAATCCACTATGAGGTAGCTACTTACGCGACAGTTACTACAGCCGCTTATGAGCCGAAGGGTTCTTTCTCAACTCTTTCTGGATTGCCTATATACAGATCAACACCTCAGAACAGGAGCCCAAACTCCCATCGCGATACCATCCTTTACTTGCCAGATGGATTTGGTCTAGCTAAACACAATCAGAGACTTGCTGATAAATACGCCCAATATGGTAAACCCTGACACTGAGCGTGCATCGCCATCAGATTCAAGTAGTATTGACATATCCTAGGTTATGAGACGGTGATTGTGGACTACTTTGAAGGCGACGCGTTGCCCGATACCTTCATGCTATATACTCCAGGGACGGACCTTGATGCATACGATAATCTCACATCAGAAGTAAGCCTGTTAAAGATCATTCGTAACGAGTTATTGAACGTACACTGATGCATTCGTTCTCGGATACAAACAGCAAAAGGAGACTATTCGCAAGATTGATATGCCAAGTTGGCTAAAGCGGCACACTCCAGAACACATATCCTCGCTTGTGGCCAAATTCTTTCCCGAGTTTTGCACCACCGTGGCAGAAGGGAACCGGGGGCCTAAAGCAAGAATCCATATACTTGGTCACTGCTTTGGTGGCAAGCATGCTTTCAAGCTAGCGCAGCTTGACCACGAGAACGTCGGATCTATACTTATCTTTCATCCGGTGAGTTAGGTAATAACAGATACTCCTCGAAATATTGCTATTCTACAATTCCCGTGTCCCGGAACGCTTCCTATAAGCCTCCGAAGACTCATTCTATTTGGTACTATGGTCTAACCGATTTCATAGTCGTTCCTTGAGCCTTCGGACCTCAAGGGTCTCAAGAAGCCGGTCCTAGTAGGTTGTGCAGAAACGGACGTATTCACACCAGACCTAATCCAGACGATATTGAACCACCTCCCAGGATGTGGGACGACATGGAAGTTCCTCGTTTACGGAGGCACGCAGCATGGGTTCGCGACTAGACCGGACTTAGGGAATGAATTGACGGCCAAAATGTTCCAACAGGCATTTGATGATGGATTGCAGTGGCTCAAGACTAATTGAGAACCTTGTCATGAGATATCTTTTAGCATGCAACAGAATAAACTTACCTATTCTCTGTCAATAAAAGGGGGCTACTTGGGTCTCTATGAAGTCAATCAGATTGCCAGTCCGCTACCATCGATAGAAACCGAACAAAAAAAAAGAAACCAATTTGCTCTGAAGATCGTAACATACGTAGCTGAGAAGCTACATGTAGCAGATGTAGTCACAGGTTGCCACAAAGGACATCGATATTCTATTGCAAGTAGATAACGCTCCGTGGGCGAAATCTAATCCTAATAGTCCATCTAATCCTCGAACTTAACTTAGACAGGACATTAATACTTTGTGTAATCCCAGACAGGTGGGATCAGGTGGACCTGTACTTATGTACGCCTCTTCTTGCTTTTTTCTATTGTATTACTGGAAAGTCACTAAAGATACCTAGGAATGATGGCTTATAATCGCTAACTCAAATCACGCACGTTGCTACGTAGTGGGAAGTGAAGTGAGGCTGTTCTGTAATGCGCTGCATGAACTATGGATATTCGGCGGATCGGTATAAGTGGACCCACCGGCCCCGTTCCGGTTACACACACTTTGCCGATGGGGTTCCGGATCCCCGGTACCCGAGTGAGTTCTTCAACTCTAGTGTGGATCTGTTGGTAAGCACGAAACATCGTCGGAATCGCCTCGGGCGCATCGGCACTTTGGAAGTGCCGCTTCTAAGGGTAGAAGATCTCGAGCCGATGGTGAAAAGAATTCACACAAATGGATGATGGGTTGCATCTAAGTTTGCATGCGACTGAGCATAGCATCTTACCCTCCTCGATCACCGTTGTACAAACCTAATTCATATCCAATATACGATGGAAACCATGGCTTCTCAAGCGCCACTACCAACTCTAGCCGACCGCGTCGCCATCGTTACAGGCTCAAGCAGAGGCATCGGCCGAGGCATCGCCCTCGAACTCGCCCGTCGCGGCGCCAAAGTGACAATAAACTACGCCAAGCCATCGTCAGCCGCCGAGGAAGTTGTTAAAGAGATCCAAGCATTGGGTTCGGATGCCATTGCCGTCCAGGCAGACGTTACTAGCCTAGCTGAGATTGACAAGATCTTCGCTAAGACCGTCGAGAAGTGGGGCCGCGTAGACATCGTCGTTAGCAATAGCGGCGTGGAGTCGTTCGAGCCCGCGGTTGACATTACCCCGGAGCGCTTCGATCATGTCTTCCACATTAATACGCGCTCGCAATTATTCGTCGCCGTTGCGGGATTCCGCTATATGAAGAAGACAGCGTCACCGTATGCGCGTCGCATCATCCTCACGTCAAGTATTGCCGCTCGAATCCTAGGCATCAAGGACCACGCTCTATACGCTGGCTCGAAGTCTGCCGTCGAAGGCATTGTCCGTTCCTTGGCCACGGATTTCGGAGCAGATGGTATCACGGTGAACGCCATTGCGCCGGGAGGCGTCAAGTCAGACATGTTTGCTGAGATGGCTACGCACTACATCCCGGGAGCTGATAAGACATGGTCGGCCGAGAGGGTGGAGCAGGCTATGTCAAGCGCATGCCCAATGGGTAGAGGCGCTGTGCCTAGTGATATTGGATAGGTAGTTTCGTGGTTGGCTGGTGACAATTCAGAATGGGTTACTGGCCAAGTTATCTTAGCTTCTGGGGGGTCGTCTGCTTGAGCAACGAACAAGACCGCAAGCCTCCTATCCAAGTCCACAGAAGCTACCTATGTTAGATTGTCAGCGCCCATATGTATATATAAAATCTACATATTCCGAAAAGCCAATGACCCTAAGATATATCACAGTTTAGGCCATGGTTTACTCTTGGTCTTTATTCTACCATACACTATAAACATATTAACCCAAGTAACTCAGTATTCAAATCAACCTCATGTACCGCGCATTAGAAGTTAGACATAATTATGCCGGGGGCCATGAACCCGTGAATTATGCTAGAGACGTAATTGCGGGGATCAGTGATGTCGAAACGAGTAGTATTTATTTCCAAGTTAGGAAACGCTTTCTTATCTCAAGCGGGGGCAGATCGATGGCGAAACCGGTCTCTCGACAGTTTCGCTTCTTTTCGTCTTGTTCTCAAGCAAACCCACGAGCGAAGGTTCGGATGTTTTGCTCGTGCGCTTGCGTTGCCCCTGATTTAGTATGCTATACGCAAGATCACTTGGCCCAACTTCATGCATTTCTCGGCCGTAGCACAGCTCGGCCTCCTGGCTCAGAATCCGTTATCTAACCGTGACCCAGTTTCGTCAACACCTACAGTTAATCTAAGCGGTTATGGCTTGTTCTCTGGGGTGAAGATAAATGAAGCGCTATCCGGGAGTCCCCTTCCAGCTGCCGTGGACGCCTGGCTTGGCATTGACTATGCGCTTCAGCCGGTCGGTCAACGGCGCTTTCGGCCAGTAGAGCATCGCCCGTCGGCGTTCCATGAAATCAGACCAGCAGCAAGTTATGGGAATGTCTGCGTACAAGACACTATTTATACTACAGGCCAGGTCCAAGACGAGGCATGTCTTAACTTCAACATCTATCGAACCTCGGGCGTGCCAATAGAGGAGAAACTACCTACCTTAGTCTGGATTCATGGAGGCAGCTTTGTTCTCGGCTCGGGCAGGAGTATGGACGGGGCATCTTTCGTCGCCTCGTCCAAGCTACCTATTGCAGTTGTTACCTTCAACTACCGGCTCAACTCGCTAGGGTTCCTTCCTAGTAAGCTCTTCGAAGAAGAGGGCCTTCTCAATCTTGGGCTACGGGATCAACATTTCATGCTTAAGTTTCTCCAAGACCACCTAGAGTCATTCGGAGCAGATCCGAAGCAGGTTACTCTAGGAGGCCGATCAGCCGGCGGACACTCTACTGGCATCCATTACTTTCACAATTATGGGGAGGATGAAGGTAAACCACTATTTGCACGAGCGATCTTTCAGTCCGGCTCAGTAACGGCACGCGCATTTCCAGATTCGAATTTTCCCCAATACAAGAAGGACTTCGAACGGTATATGCGGTATCTCGGCTGTCCAACCGGAAGAACCGAGGGGGGTAATGCCCTAGCCCTAGATTGCCTCCGGCGAGCATCGATACATGACATTCAGCATATTAGTGCTGAGATGTATGGGGAGTCAGAGCAAACTCTGAGCTGGCCTTTTCAACCGACCTTAGGAGGGCCTCTGTTAGAAAGACCAGGATCACAGTCCGGCGTTGAGGGAACCTTCCACCATCTCCCCGCAATTACCTCATATGTCACCGACGAAGGGAAGTTTTATACTCCGGCAATCCATAACACTAACGATGATTTCCTGTCCTTCATGTATGCTATGAGCCCCTATCTAAATTACACCGACATCGCCTTGTTGAATGAGCTCTACCCGGACCCAACACGGCACCCTGATTCCCCCTGGGCGAACTCGCCCAACAGCACCCAGTATAATCGACTCTCGGCTGCTTGGTCAGATATGGCCTATATCTGCCCAAGCCGGGAAACGGCCTTCCGCACATCGACCGCCGGCGTCCCTACGTGGAGACTCCACTTCAACACGCCAAACCACCCGTTGGAGTACCAAGCATGGCGTGGAATACCACATACCTCCGATTCAGCTTACGCCTACGATTCACCAGGAGTAGCCTTCCCGCAAACCGCTCATATATACCACGCTTACCTGGCTAGCTTTGTAGCTACGGGCAACCCAAATAGTGCCCGGCTGGAGGGAACCCCAGAGTGGCCACAATACCTAGCATCGGAGACTTGTGGTGTGGCTCGGCCTAAACAACTTCTCATTAACCCCGGTGTTTACACTACTGTAGAAGAAGACTCTGTTAGGATTTCCCAGTGCGAGTTTTGGAACGATCTAGATCGGGCGAAACGGTTGAATAAATAAGTCATGATGTAGACATGAGAAGATATCAATGAATTTATCAGCAGGTCTATTGTGCTGATATTTAGTACCTACCTCTCTATGAGGACTCGAGAACATACAATTTAGTACCCCCAATAGGGCCATAGATTTGACCTCGTAAAAAATACAAGTTAGTAATATTATCGCATAACCTATGCGACTGATATTTAAATTCTATAAGTCCTACTTTATAATCTACAGTGCTTCCACGATCCCTTTATTCCATTTTAGTCTCAGCTTTTTGAACTTCCGATGTCTCCCCCCATAATATCAACGTATTCCGACACATGCATACCTCTAATTTGATAGCACTCAGAACGTTTTTTATGATTAAATCTGCGAGGAACCATTCCAGTCTTGTTAGTCACTGACATAGAGGCCTGTAAAGCTTCTTCCGCCGCATGTTTCTGTTCCGCCGCTTTCTCTTCCGCTGATTTACACATCTCTGCTATGTGATCTCCTATCCGACCGAGATCGCTCCTGTTAATCAAGATCGGTAACACGTCCTTCCAGGTCTTGGATTTAAAATCATCCGGTCGGGTAGCCGCCGGTAGGCAACTACCGTTGAAAGGAGGAAGGGTCATACTATTCTGTTTCGGACCATAGATGTATATATACGCCCACGTACCTAGCGAGTCTATTATCTTGCCAAGGAAGTGCTCCTGAAGGATTTCATCCATTTCTCTCGAGTTAGGACCTTCTCCAACGGCGAAATAGTTTGGACTGTTCCAAGGATGTCCATAGAACATATAACAATCCTGAGGCCGACGCTGTCGAATACAATATTGAGAGTTAGATCTTCTGCAAGCAGCGCACTTAGCCTCATTCTCAAATCCTACGAAGATAAGGGTGCACTTAAGTCCCTTGTCTATACACCTTAGACAAGACTCGCCACCATCTGCTAATGGCCTTCCGGTAAGAGGGTCTCTTTCGTAGTCGTCAGACTTCGAATTTACGGGTTTTCTTGACTCTTTACCAGTAGACATATCTTTTAACTCTCGAGGTTGGTTGGTAGAAGTTTCGCTAGCTACTGTTTGCTTCACGTCAGCTGTATTGACTGTTTGCCGAATTGGTGATATCGTGCTGAATTATTGCAATGAAGATGCGATGAAGAAAAGAAACCCCGGGCCCATTAACGGGAATAACTCGTTCAATTTGTATTCTCTAGTGACAAAGAATAACAGGAACAGAGCCTTTATATACCAAACCGTGATGATTTTGCGTTTGTCGAGTAATAAAGCCATTATTAGAAACAATGGAGAAAATTTAAATAGATTATGAGTGCATTGTTTATGATTATTGCATTGTACTTCGTAAACCTTCTACAAACCGATTTAAAGCTAGAGAACAATCCCGTACAAATTCATAGTCGACCGTCTTGTTTAGAAACTAGATTTGAAGCTTCCTTATTTTAGAATACAATGAATTCTAATAGCACTCCAATAACTATGGTTTGTTGTACTAGGTGGCTAACTTAGGTCTTTACGACGATTTAACTTGAGTCTGTTCGCTCGAGGCCACGTAGATATTGCTAATCATCGGAGGTGCACTTCGAGGTATTTTAGCCCCTAATCCAGTCATCTTCAATCGCTTAGGCTTTAATGGTCTTGGAAAGGTGAAGTGAGGTGATTCTTGGGGATCACTTCCATCTGGAGTTGTGTCTATGGAGGTCCTCTTCCCCAAATTGGTCGATGAAGTTGAAAGGCAAGACATCCTATCTTGCTCCCCTTTGTGAACTGTGCCGTAGATTTGCTCCATGTCCGGAAGCTCTTGTATAGGTGGAGCAATAGTATGAGCTGGCTTCCATGTCTCGACATTTTTCTTCATGCGAAATTTGAATTGTTGCTTGTCTGGCTGTTGCTGAAACCAAGAATGATGTTTCGCTTCGGATGCTTCCAACCTACGCCTAGGTTCAAACATGAGACAAGACCTAATGAATTGTTGGCAGCTATTACTTATCCCTTGTTGAGACGGGTCTTCAAATATGCTGTCGAGCCATCCGGTAATTGCTGCTTGGTTTGATTTCATGACGCTACTCGGAACAGCGTTCTCATCTGGCCCTAGAAGGAACACCACAATCATACCAAGGGACCAGATGTCCACAGCTAGACCATGTGTCTCACCATATTCAACTTCGCTAGTAGACGGTCAGCAGATACTCCTCAGAGGAGGCCGAGTTGACTTACGGTGCCATGTACTGGTCGGTACCTACTCGGCTAGCCATACGGCCTGATGCTGTGGATTTTGCGAATCCTAAGTCACCAACAATAACGCGGCCTGTAAGATCCGGTCCTGTAGCAAAGAATATATTTTCGGGCTTTAGGTCGCGATGTGCAATACCTCCCTTATGCTATATTAATTATTGTCAGCAAACCCCCTGTTGAGTGATGCGTGTAGCGAGCTCAAGATATGTATAAAGGCGGAGAAGAAATCTGTTGACGTTACGTACAAGATAACAAATGGCATTTACGACTTGCCGAATGACGAATTTGCAATCTTGCTCCTCGAAAGTTCCTCGAGTTAGACGCATCGAAAAGAGGTCCCCGCCTGTTGCAAGCTCAATAAAGGTGTAGAAGGTGTGTGCTGAGTGGAATGCATATTCGAAAATAGGAAGGTTAGGCTTGGATCTTCGTGAGTACGCTGCAACTAGATATATAAAATAAAAAAAGCACTTACATGCTTCAGCTTTCCGAGTATATCAGTCTCATCCCTAATACGTCGGATTAAATCATGAGAGGGTGCTAGTCGACGAAGACGATCGAGATCATGGATTTTGCAAGCAAGCTGTTTCCCCGTTCTCGCGTCGACAGCTAGATGAATTTTCGCAAAGGCGCCACGACCTAGAATTCGTTCGGTAATGATATATCGATGGCGGAAAAGCTGTGGCCCATGAGAAATTTATTCCAATGCCATCAACAGTTTGGCTAAACTTACAGTTGACTCCTTGAGTTGAATTGAGTTTAAGGGACATTTCAGCTCGGTATGATATAAAAGTGAGATGCGAAATTTCCAGTAAGGCTTGACAGTAACTTCAACGTCTCGACTAATATAAAATCCGTGCGCAGCACCTTTCTCTTTATTACCAATGCAGGTTTCGTTAACATATGTACCTTCAAGAGACTGACAGTCTCGTACATATACCAAATAGGGCTGCTTTTGGACATCATTCTGGTCGTAGATGACTGAATAGATGACGAAATGTTTCCTTGAAACATTGGGATGGTTTATAGAAATGTCACTTTCAAGTATTTAGTACGAAATATGAAAATACACTGTTGGAAGCTCTGCTTACTTTACATGATGATCCCGTCCAACGTTTATGGCTCGCCCCGGGAGTAGGGGGAGGTCTAGGAAGAGTTTCGTGTTGCGACGACTAGCTTTTTCGCCTTGTCCGCCTTGCAATTTGTTCACATAGAAGCCTTCTAGAAGTAAAGACACCCGTAAGCTATTGGATCAAAAGATCAAGACATGAGAAATATGGGATCTAGGTAGAACGCCGAAAGCATACCTGGAGGTTTATATTCTTCCGAAGAATCCTCAATCCAGCAGGATATTTGAGCGATTGGATGAATCATACTGGATGTTAACTGGTCTGGACAAGTTGATATATGAAAGAAAGAAAGAATAATCACGGTGGTAACGACAATTAACTTATATTTAATTTCTTTTGAACATGTTAAAGTGTTATACAGCACCTACTTAGGCAGGTATACATATGTGTAAATTACAGTAAGAGTTGAAGAAACTACCTAATTTCCTCTCAAATTGATACGCTACTGTGCCTCCTGATATTGAGAAACTCTATTATGTTAATACTTATAATAGGAGGAAGGTACTAGCCGAGCCTGACGCATATTCCAGGCAGGCTCACTCTATGTTATACAGTAGAGCCAATTGAGTCCGAGGCAATTACCAGCTAGATTAAACAGCTAAAATGGGTAATATCCCTACTGTGAGGTAGTCGAGGAAGGAAGTGTCTTTCTTTAAGCGACGTCTGTGTACTTCTGGTACTTGAAATTTAGCGTCATATATGCACGGACCACCTGAGCAGCCACAAACAAAAATTCAGGTGTCCCATTTTATTTGCACCCGAAGAAAAGCCGGTCACAAACCCTAACATAATTTCCAACCGTACTTCAATTCATCCCACTCCCGAAATTTCCTTTCCTTCTCCTAAGCTTCATCAACAAAGCAACTCATCGACAGCAACCTGTAAGTACAATCCAATCCCTCAGCTGCCCAGCAATCCCTATCGCGAGTCAATTGTGAAGGGCATTGAGGAAGTCTTCTGCCATCGCATTGCCTGAGCGCTTCGATTATCCTGATCTTGTGGTCGATTTGCACAAGTTCCCCGCGGTCGCCACAAATCCACTTCCCACCCCTCACCATCACAATCTCTCACCACCACAGCTTTTGGAAAGAGTGCCAAGTACTAATAAAAACAAATAGTCGTAGTCGCCACGATGAGAGCCAAGTGGAGAAAGAAGAGAGTTCGCCGCCTCAAGCGTAAGAGAAGAAAGATGAGGGCTCGCAGGTACGTTATCGCACACTTTCCTCATAACCAAGCTATGGCGACGTAATACTGATTGGTCTATCCGTAACAGCAAGTAAACATATCCACCCTGCTCGATCTCAGCGCCTCTCCGCCAGACCGGATCGCGTCATGACAATTACGATTCACAATCAACACATTCGCAACTCAGCACATGACACTCGACTATCTTGACTATTCCTCAACTCAAAGCGATGTCTATATGACAGGAAGGAAGACCCATGGAAACGGCTGTAGTTGTGGATGTCTGGGAGGGTGACAACAACGAATTGGACCGGAGGATAGCTGGTCAAACACCATCGAGTGGACCAACAGTTGTGTTTACGTATCGCGGAACAGGAAGCATGATTGCTAAGAGATGTTCATGATCATTGCACAAGAAATAGGATCCATGTGCTAGTCAATAGATTTGCAAATGTCGATCCCTATAACTAACTGGTTATCCAATGCTCCGTTTATGAATATGTTAGGTAGTCTTGTAAGCTTTGCGTAAATTTCGATGACGTCGTGTTCCTTTCGATACCCCTCCTCGCATCTAGGCATTGTCAGTTCTTACCTAAACCAAGTTTTTAATGAACTTCTCTGATATGTTTTAGGTAGCAATGCAGGAGTTACAAAAGAATATAGACCAAATATTCATTAAGGCAATCTCATATAATCCTGAAGGTTACCTTCTACCTAAGTAATTGCTACGATGCTATCTGGGGGTACCTTACCTAGGTATGCAGCCTTTGCGAAACCGTTTGCGGCAATATGAGGCTAGCATGTATTCCGTACATAACGTGGGGTCTGTTCACCGCCTGCCTAATCTCTTATCTCCCCGTCGGCAGTATTCTGGTCCTTTTTTTTTCTATGCAAACTCAATCCCTGCTGTCAGTTTTTTCGAATTTGCTCTGACAAAAGTGCATCGTCGGAAGATTGCGATTAATCATATACAGTCAATTTAGCGCAGCCCAACCATGGCAGAGCATAAGGAAAAGAAGAGAAAGCGTAACGAAGACGCTGGTTCACGGCCTAAGAAAAAGGTAGCTATTCAAGCTCCCTCACAACCTATACAGTCAAACATTGTCAAAGTCTCCTCCATCCAGACTGCCAAAAGCTTTCCTCCAATAATAGGTATGGCATTCTCTAATAGTTCTTATTAATTTTTTGACAATAATTAACCACCTGGTATAGCAACTTCTCCCGGTCTCTGTGTTCCCGATTCGATTAAATTTCAGACATATACATCACCGCAGCCTGCAGGTTCCAGGCGAAGCAAGAAGACAGATGCGCACACACCTAGCCTCCTCCTACATTCATCCTCACACAGTAAATTAGATTATACAGCAAAGGAAGATGGACCTGGTGGTCGAGAGTCGCATCTTAAGCATTATATCGGAGTTTTTGATCCGAAGACGGGCCAGCTGTCAGTCGTGGAAGCCAAGAAGATGGCTGTCAGAGGTGCAGTTCGAGCACAGAAACCTCCAGAGGAAGATGTAGAAGAGATAAAAACCTCCAAGGTACATAAGCTCTATCTTAGTATTTTAGTGAGGAGGGTATCTAACTGTTACATAGACGATGATGGAACTACGCAACAACCTTGGCGAAGCGTTTGGAACCAAGAAGGCAAAGAAGGCGCTTGCTGCAATCACTGAGAATGCTATTGCTCCAGAAAAAGCCGTTGCCGATGCAGGCGGAAACCCGCAAAAGCTCAGCTCCTCCTCCATGGCTCTAATGGATTCTATCAACGACGTCACCGTGGGAATGGCATCTAAGGAAGATCTCCAAGCAGTAGCCGACGCAGCGAAGCCAGTACCACCAGGAAATTTCGATGCCCAAGAGATACAGGATGTGTATACTGTCGAAGAATTGATTGGGGGCGAAATTTTGAATGCCATTCCAATCAGAGACTGGCAAGAACAGCTTAAGAACGGACAAAACTCCACAATACCGACCAGATTTATTGCCAACCGATTCCAGGCCGTTGGAGAAGGGCCAAACCCAGTGCACAGACTTCGAGCTCTTCGGTACCTAGAATTCCTCATCAAATTCGTCAGGAGTACTCGGCCAGGAAAGGAGAGAGGCACAAAACGAATCCCGCCAAAAGACAAGCTCAGGGAGATAATGAAGCCTGCGCCAGAACCCGTTATCGAGAACATCAGGCGAAAGTTCTCGTCTAACGCAGAGATGAGGAAGTTCCATATCGATTTGGTGTACACCTATTGTTGTGCTCTCGCGGCGATACTGTCGAACTACAGCTTCGATACAAGCTCTATTAGATACGACTTGAGTCTAGACGAGAAGCAATTCGGACAGTATTTCCGCGAGATTGGTGGCAAGGTTAAAACTGCAAAGGGTGCAGAAAAAGGCACGCATGTGCAAGTGGCGCAGTTGGCTTTGCCATTGGAATTCCCGAAGGTCAGATATCAACGCCCACGAGGGCGTTAATGCATTATTAGCAGGGGACATGTCACGGCGCCTCTTACGCATTTCTAGCGTATTTTAGAGCCTTGGCCCTTGAGAAGTAGGTGGTGGATTATTACCTTAGTAATTTCAGACTTACGAATCCTTTACGTGTTACTGGTGAATTTTTGAAATATTTTCATCATATTATTCTAGACCAAAAAATAATAAAATTAATTAAATACACCGCCAGCTGTGCTAATTGAGAATTAGTTCTGCTAAGCCGGTCTAACGGAAAGGACCCGGGCTCATCGCCATGATCTAACCGGAGCCGGTCTATGATTCCGGAGCGGAATGTGAAATAGCAGCGATTATAGAAAAGCTTTTCGAGCTATTAGGCTTGGTTGCATTGGTTGCAAGGATTATAACGAAAATCTGAATTTATTTAATTGCAATTGAGGTTCACACAATCTACGCCCAGTATGGTGCAATAGATAAGACCGAAGCAGCCAGTCTTCGTCCGTCTACATGACGTGATCGTAGAGATACTACGTCGAAGTGATTTCTCGGCAATCGAACGCCCGGTCATATAAATCACTTTGCTGGACCGAAGAAAATGGAAATATTAATTTATGTAGGTACAGCTATAGGGCAGGTTAATTACGAACATACTTGTTGGCATAGACCGGTCATCAGTCCTTTTTGTCTCGCTGCTTTTACTCCAAGCTCACTCTACGTACTTAATTGTAGATTAGTGTACATAGGAGCTATGGCAGGCGAACCAAGAGAAAAAGTTGAAGTCTCCGATTCCGATCCGGGCCCGGAAACCAAAGAGATTACGACTCAGGACACGGCGGATCCCGGCCGCACGTCAAAGGAAGCATCAGAAGGAGATAAGTATGGCTCAACCGACGACCATGTATTCTCCGATCCGTCTGTAGCTGAATACTGGCGCGCCAAGTACGAAAAGGCCAGCTATGAGAACCGGCACCGCTTCGATCCGGAGTACAAGTGGACGGCGGAGGAGGAGCGCCGGCTGGTGAGGAAGGTCGATGCCAGGATTATGGTTTGGGCGTGGCTGATGTTCTGTGCGTTGGATATGCACAGGAGGAATATTAACAGAGCTATTTCGGATAATATGCTGGCTGAAATTGGTAAGTCGTCTTCTGTTTGTTACACATACATACTTCTCATGTATAAGAGAATTGTACATGGCCATCAAAACTGTTTTAGAGATTAGTGAGACTAATTGGACTCATAGGCATGAACACGAACGACTTCAACTATGGACAGACTATCTTTCTTGCTTGTTTCTTGGCTGCGGAATTGCCTAGTGGACTAATTAGCAAGAAGCTCGGCGCTGATGTCTGGATCCCTACGATTATGGTGGGCTGGTCCATCGTTGCGCTGTCGCAGGCGTTCCTCAAGAACAGGGCCGGCTTCTACGCTATCAAAGCTCTGCTGGGCTTGTTGATGGGCGGGTTTATCCCCGACATAGTCCTCTGGCTCACATACTTCTACAAAAGTAGAGAGCTACCCCTTCGCTTGGCCTGGTTTTGGACCGCTCTTAGTACGGTGAATATTGTCGGTTCGTTGCTAGCCGCTGGAATTCTTCAGATGCGTGGGATTAATGGGTGGAGCGGTTGGCAGTGGCTGTTCCTCATCGAGGGGTTAATAACGCTGCTCATAGGAACATTTTCTTGGGGTCTAATGCCACCAGGACCTACTCAAACACGACATTGGTTCCGGGGTAAGAATGGGTGGTTCAGCGAACACGAAGAGCATATATTGGTCAATCGACTCCTCCGCGATGACCCGAGCAAGGGAGACATGAACAATAGGCAAGCCGTGGGGCCTAGTCTACTCTTGAAGGCCGTCAAGGACTGGGAAATGTGGCCGCTGTACATCATCGGCCTCACAACGTACATCCCGCCCGCACCACCGTCCAACTACCTGTCATATATCCTACGACAGCTTGGGTTCTCAGTATTTGAGGCCAACCTCCTCGCGATCCCATCGCAGTTCCTATTCGCTGTCAATCTCCTTATCGTAACGTGGGTCTCGCGACACTTCAACGAGCGGTCCATCATCTCGTCCAGCTCCAACATCTGGATATTCCCATGGATCCTCGCACTAGTCCTCCTACCGGAGAACGCATCTCCATGGGTCCGATACGCCATGCTGACGGGGCTTCTCAGCTACCCCTATTGCCACGCCATCCTCGTGGGCTGGAACGCGAAGAACAGCAACGCGGTGCGAACACGCGCGGTCTCAGCAGCGCTATACAATATGTTCGTTCAGAGCGGCAACATTATCGCGAGCAATATCTACCGCGATGACGACCAGCCCTTGTACCGGCGTGGCAACCGGGTTTTACTGGGGATTACGGTTTTCAACATCCTGCTATTTTACGTCGTGAAGGCGTTTTACATTTGGCGGAACAAGCTGCGCGATAGGAAGTGGAATTCGATGACGCAGGAAGAGCAGGAGAATTACATATTGACGACGAAGGACGAGGGAATGCAGAGGCTTGATTTCCGCTTCGTTCACTAGGACCGTCTGGACGATTTGGGTATACATAAAACGGGGTATATATGTGCGCGTAAGGTCGATCATGGCTACAATAATTTAACCGGGCCATAGCATAGGCCTAAGAAAGCCTCATTCTAAGATGTATTTATCCCGTCATCTCTTCTAGACATGGCGTAAATACTGTGTAGACATCTAACACTGTATATTTATTGTACATGGTAAAAAAATATAAAAATATAAAAAGGGACACGGAAAAGTCTAATGCTTCAAAGCTAAATTGACACTTAACGATCCTATACATCAACATAGATCTATAAGACATATTGAGAGTGTTCGGAATATTGGTGCTCATCATAGTATCTTAACTTAGAAATGTTCTTAGATCTAAGACCCCACACGTCCAACTTATTTAGGGCATTACTTCGTAGAGTCCATAAGCCAACACGAGATACTATCCAGACCCTAATTCTATATACCAAGATTTTATTAAATAGTAGAAGTTGCCGTTCGCCGCGCCGGGTTGCTGCGGGAACTCCTGATAAGCTCTTCTTAAGACGAGTGACGTTTCGTCTAGGTCTCGAAAACATAGGCCTCCCATGTGCCGCGCTCGGATCATCCGCATAGACCGGGGATTATACCGCCCCTTGATTGGCTCTTGGCATATTATAATCGTTAAATACTTCGATACCTGTCATCTCTTCCCATAATCTGCTAGATTCTATGGTTACCTTAAGGTATGTAGGCATACTGTGCCGGCGCGAAGTCCCTGGATTCTTATTTCGAATAAGCTCCTGGAGCCAAGTCTCGATCAACGGCCCGGCTATCACCTTAAAGTAAGAGCCTCACCTAGAGTCGGGCGAATCACGTTGCGAATTGCGGTGTTAGTGGCATGGAACTAGTTAACGCCCCTGGCGCTTTGAAGATTGACCGGATGGTCGACCATCCGGAGGGATAAGGGAATCATGAGAATCATCATCCGGTGTAGATGTTGTTAGATCGCCGTCTAGGTAGGAAGTATATATAGAGAATGATCCCCTTCGCATAGAACATGATCGCCTTAGGAACACTCGTATGATCGTGTCCTGGTAGATCATCCGCTTTACTTTACCTTCCATTCTTTTCTTCGTGACGCCCCAGAGGCTGTCTTCTTGATTCCGTTCTTTGCACATAATACCAATTCATCACAGTCCTTTGAAAGGTTTTTCTTATTCATTCATTCATTCTTGCTTCTGGAAAGCCGAATCGACATCATGTACTTTGGACGTGCTTGCGCGGCCCTGTTGGGTCTTTCGTCGCTCGTTGCATCAGGTTAGATGCCTCACCCCTATTTAGAAATCCCTTTTGACTAACAGTATGTTCAGCACCAACTGATGAGTCGCATGCGTTGGCGTCTAGGAGGGGATTGAAGTGGAAGCCACGACGAACCCCTCTTACGATCGAGCAGATAGTACAGGAGACGAACATCATCATCGTTGAAGACAACAAGGCAGAGTTAGACGCTTTACAGAAGCTAGCCGAGCGGCAATTTGCCCAGCTCGTCCAGGCCGAAGTTGCCTTAATAACTCAGCTGGAAAGTATCAAGAATAATATCCGAGTTAACCATTTTAAGGCTCGCTTCTCGCAAGTAGTGAGTCAACTATACGGTACCAGGTCCGCTTGACCTCGTTGCTAACAAGTGGGTAGAACATTGTAATTGTTACAGTATCGACCTTAATCGATGCTCGAGCCGAGAAGGGTAGCCAAAAGAGGTACATGGTAAACCAGGCGGTTGTTGATAACGGCAAGCCTGAAAATCAGATCATGGTCATGGTCTCAGATGCGCAAACCATGACTATCGGCGCATCGAAGACAGTCGGCCTCGCAGGGGTCCAAGCAGCCAGCGCCGTCACTAAACCAACGGCGGTACCTGCCCTCGTAGGCGCCGATCCTGCCGCGCCATACGGAAAGGCGAATCAGAGCTTGATCCTCCCTATCGGCGCCAAAGCGCCGGCGATCGATCTCGTCTTCGTCGACCCAGCTGCCATCATCTTGCCGAATCAGAAGGATCTATTCGTTGAGAGCACGGATACCTTCCTCCAGGACTGCGGTTTCTACCAGTCAAACGGCAACGCCTTTGCCAATTTAGGCTCCCAACTGTTCACGTCGTTTGAGCAGATCACAGTCGTGAACGGTGATGTTTCGATCGTGAAGCAGAAGCAGGAGGTTAATATCGTGGCGCCAATTGCATAGGCCAGAGCGAATAGGATCGAAAGGATATTAGCATATATTTATATTTAGATACCCATGTGCATACATAGACCTTTAAGCATATTGCTCTGTAGGTCTGGAGACTATTAGTTGAGGAGTTCGACTAAGCGAGAGAGGCGGTAGCTTGGGGGTGAATAGGAATAGGTCTAAAGGGGGTTGCACTTTGCACGAGCCCTCTTACTAGAGAGGCTTATATTTTCGTACCTTTCTCTACGTAGAAAGGGATAATATAAAGACTTCAAACCCTTGCACTGTTTTCGATACTGTCTAGCATGCTTATTGTTCAAAATTACAAGCTCCTAAAGGGGTATCTAGTATTCCATTTTAATGGAGACAAACTGGATGAGATGATTGGAGAGCTCTTTACCCTTTCCAGCCAACCTCGGTCAAAGGTATATTTAGGTAGTGATGTACCGACATCGACATAAATATAGAGTCCAGGGGAGCTACCATCATGTCTCATTTATTTTATCTATGACAACTACTCATAACGGCTACATGGAAATATTGAGGAATAATAAGGGGTCATCCGAAAAGAATGGTTCTTTGCAATTTACATTTCATCTCGCTCAAGGACGGAGTTTCGATCGGCTCATTTCTCGCCAAGTTCCGTCGAAGCGGCATTAAGCCCGTCGTACAGGCCCGAGTCATTCGGTGGATGGTCCTACCCACACAGATTTCAATAGGCCACCTCTTGGGCCGAAATATCCACTGGGATCTTCTTCTGGTACTGGGGGGGAATGATTTTATTCCTCATGAAGCACAGCTAGATATCGATGCAACTTGGACGGCATCGAGTGGTGTCTCATCTAAAGCTATATCAAATTATGAAGCTATGAACGCAGAACTACTTCACCCGCCGCCCGGCTCCGTCAAATCACCAGAAAAACATACCATTGAACCATCAAGGACATCGCAAAACCTCGAAATGAGCCCCGAGTTAGAAGAGTGGATGACGGCGCTACCAACGCCGTTGAAGGAGCACCCGGTCTCGATGCTAAACTTACTTGCTTTCAATCCCGGGAAGAAGGATCAATATAAGCAATACGGTGTTGAGTTCTCGGCCAAGGTCGGCTCTAAACATGGCGGACGGGTGAAGATTGTCGGGAGGGTGGTAGGTGGCCAAGCGCATGGAGATGGATGGGAAGAAATCGCATTCGTACATTATCCGTCTGTTCAACACTTTGCTTCCATGGCGGGGAGTAAGGACTATCAGGATGTCAATCACAGGTATCGTCTTGGGGCGCTTAAGGATACATTCATCTGCTGTGTTATGGAGGTTGACGACAATGGCAATCTCGGCAATCTTCGTTCCACTAAAGAGAAGCTGTAAGCGTCATATTAAATCTACCACGAGGTGTCTAAAAGCCTATGATGTACATATCGATGTAAGTACTGTGACATGAGACATAAACCTTCTATTGAGGAGTGGTTCCTAGGTATAACGCTAATCTCCAAATATTACTACTAAACAGTCGACGGGATGTCTTAGACCAAACAAAGGTCGGGTCCATCAGTTGAGGCCGATGTTGCCACCAACGAATGAAAGTCCGTACTGGATAGTTGTAAACACCGAGTACCATGAGATTACGTACCTAACTGATCCTTGGGGTATTCTGGGGTATAACAAAAGAACGAACGTATTAGCTTCTCTTATAAATAACAAGGAAATCGATGCGACGGTATTAAAGCTCACGAGGTATTCCAGACCAGCCCATCACACTGTATTTGTAGACACCAAGATGGGGAGAATGGACCTATAAAGGCCCTAGGACTTGTTTAGCAGATTTGCTGGTGTGTATGGTAGTCTCGGCAGCTTTTTTTTATCTGTAGGATGACGTCTCGATAGTATGGGGTCACGCACGCCTGGGAGATCTTAGACCCTGGCAACCCCGCAATATCGACTCAAGATGCATATGGTATACGGAATATATATCATAGTAGTAAAGGATGGTTTTAAGAAACAGTTATTAAACGTAAAAATTATTTTATACCCGAAAATTATTTTTTAATAAATAATTATTATTAACTAAAAAATATTTATTTATTTAATTTATATAAAAAGGTATAAATATTAAATATAATATTTATATTAATAATTATTTATATTTAAATAATATATTTTAAAATTTTAAAAATTAAATAATAATAATATATATTATAATTATTTAAAAATTTAAATAAATAATATATTTTATAAATATTTAATATTTTAAACTTATTTTTTTATTATTGTTTATATATTTAAATATTTAATTTTTTACTATTGTTTATACGTTTTATTTAAATTTTTACTATTATTTATACGTTTTATTTAAATTTTTATTATAATTAATAAAAATTTTAATTATAAATAATTATTTATTAAATATATATAAAAATTATAAAATATTTTCGTAAATATATTATTTAATATATTATTAAATATATTAAATTTTAATAAAATATAATTAAAATTATTATAATTAATATTATAATTAAAACTTTAATTAATATTATTAATTAAATTTATTATAAATTTAGTTAATTTAAATATAATATACTTTAAAAACGTAGATTTTATTTTAATATTTAAATAATTATAACTTTTATAATTAAAATATAATTAAAAATTTTTAATAAATTATTTATTTTTTTTAAAAAAATTATTATTATTTAATAAATAATTATTAATGTTATAAATAAAATTAAAACTATTATTATTATAATTATTATTATATTTTTATTTTAATTATTTTATATATAATAAATAAATTAATTTATTATATTTATAAATAAAATAATTATTTATATTTTATTTTATTTATTTAATATATAATAAATAAATTATTTTAAAATAATTATTAACGTTATTTTATTTTATTTAATTATAGCCTTATTTTTACCCGGTAAAAAATTGGTAAATATTAATTATTTTAATAAATAATTAAGTAAAATTAATTTAAATAAATATTTTTTTTTTTATATTTTTTTATTTTATTATTAAATATAATAAATTTATAAATAATATATTTTATTTCGTTATTAACATATTTAATAATAATATTAATAAATATTATAATAATATTATTAATAAATATAATTTAAATAAATTAAATAAAAAAAGATTTTATAAAAATATAAAAAAATAATAAATAACGTTAATTTTAATATAAAATAATAATTTTTATATTATTATTATTAATTTTTTTAAAAAGATTAAAAATATATGTAATTAAATAATATTAATTTTCTTATTTTAAATTAATTTTTAAAAATAAAATAATTTTATTTTAGTTATAATAAAAATGAAAATTATTATAAAATTATATTTTATTTAATAAATAAACTTTTATATTTTATATTTATTTATAGTTAAAATAAATATATATATTATTTATTTATAACCAATTATTAGCAAATTTAAATATAATATACATATTTTAAATAAAATTATATATTCCAATAATATAATAAAACTTTTTACACAAGTTGGATATAATAAAAATGTTAATATTAATAAAAAAAATTTATTAATTTTTTAAAAAAACTTATAATTTTAATAATTTATTAAAAATAAGAAATATTTAATTAACAAATTTAAAAACGATTAAATATAAAAAATTTATTAATAATTAATAATAAAAATAATAAAAAAAAAATTAAAAATTAATTTTATTTATATTTAAATATATAGAAATAATAATATTTTAACAATATAATATTATTTATAACTTTTAATTAAAAATTATTTATTTTAAAAAATTTAATAAAATATAAATTGATAAAATTAAACCTACGCCTTTTTATTAGATTTTATATATTTTTATAAAATAAATAATAAACATAATATAATAAAATATACCATAAATTATTTAAATTAATTATATTAAAAAATAAAAATAATAATAACAAAATATAACTTAAATAATAGATTTTTACTACTTTTTTTAATTATTAACAATTTTTTCTAATAAAAAAAGTTATAAAATTAATAATTAATTTTAATTTTATATTAATTATAATAAATTAATAAAATATATTATATATATATATTTTTAAAACGTTATAAATATATAATTATTAAATATAATTAT